TTTGTATGAGAAAGTTGCCCGGAGCTTTTAAAGCGGACAAACTACGGTAGGTCAAGATGCCTGTATGGTTTGGTTGATATTACCATGCATGTAACCAACTGTAAAATACAATTTAAAGTAGCAGTAGTACTTTGATGCACAGTTAATTGGATATTAGCAATTTCCTGGTTTTGAATTCAACTGGGCAAGCTGAAGTGAGTTGTGGTCGGATTTCTCCGGCGACATATGAGCATCAAAATCACCCGCATTACATATTTACCGCAATGTTTGTGTGTGATTTAAAATCTTTTATAATGAGAAAGGTGAGTTATTCTGAACTCCGATGTTTGAGTGTAATGGAGATTAATGTGGTCATTCTCATCCCATTTATCACACTACTCTTTAAAATTGATATCGTCTCATCACATGACCAACATTAAAAGAGTATTTTCGTCAAAATATAGTTCATCCACTTAGGAGACGATAAAACTAATGTCGTTTGATAAACAAGAGCAAGGCTCTCCTATTACGATTTCACATGGAATTCCACTTAGTAAAACGAATTTTCAAAATAATGGCAGAAAGAAAGCTTAAATTTAAACACAACATGAAATTAGTAATTAATCCCAAATCCAAGAGAAGGGTACTTTCATTTAATAAATACTGATAGACAGACAAAAGCAACAAAGACTACTACTCTTTTATTGATATAGTAGTGAGTGAGTAGTTATTTCATAACTATTTTATTTGCGCAAATCCTTGAAATAGGCAGCTGGGTTGCTCTCAAAGCTCTCCCTGGAGATTGTATCATCTCTTCCAGGAGCTTTCATAGACCCTGCTGCATGGGCTCCACCACCACTTGCTGCTGCTGCTGCTGCCGCCACATCGGATGACTTGGCCCCACTAGCATTTGGGTTTGCCGCCTGGCTCTTACTATTACCATTAGATCCTTTGCTGCCTCCCATTTTTGCAATATTCCAAAGTGCTTTTCTGGTTCTGTGGCTTAGTTGGAATTGGAGGGCTGCATTGCATGGCCATATATATACACAGATTGATTGATTGTAGTGCATCAATTTGATTCTAAGAATTAAAACGGTCAAAAGTGAAAATTAATAGAACCAGCATTGGAACTGCTAAGAATACTTGGAACTTGCGTTTTCCAATTACCGGGATAGGATTGGGATTTGAATATTTGACCCTTCCAATGAACGAAGATTATAAATTGGAATATGGTGTTTTCAATCCAATCCAATCCAATCCAATCCAAATAGTACGTGCTTTTTGAATGCCTAATTAAGAAAAGGGTGGTATTGAAGTCGATGCATTTTCCCAACAACAATTGTGCAATAAAGAAAGCTTGAACGTCATCTTACTATGCTAATTCAATCTGCAATACTCCATTAGGAAATGTTTTGCTCAAGTATTTGATGCCTCATCAAGGTGTTTTGATCCCAATTTTTTTATTTATAAAATAGCATGGGACATTTAGGCCCGGAAAAATAAAGCCCAAAATAGTGGCTCAAATAATATGGGCCTGTGCTTATGATATTTTTCTAAGTACAAATAGTAGTTTAAACTACACGAAGAGGTAATGGGGTTTCTCACACATGTACTATTACGATGCCATAAGAGTTCGAAGTATGCAAGTTAATGCTATTTTCTACTTGATTAGACTCCATTGGCATGTATTGACCTTTTTAATTTTCAACCTCTACCTATGAATTTTTTTATTTCGAGAATTATTACAATTTCTCCATTATCTGTCATGGTGGTTTTTATAATTTCCTCATAAAAAAGATCCTTCTACCAATTTTACTAAAATTTTGATGGGATGCCCTCGAAAATGACGAAATTTATGTGTAAACCTACATCAATTGATTTTAAAGTTTTTTTTTTGAAGCAAATTGATTTTAAAGTTTGAGAGCATAACTTTCAATAAATAAACCATGCTTTGAAAATAAACGGTCCATCGGACGCCGTCTAACCAGTGAGTAAAGGCAGAACTCAGCCCTCTGCTGAGTACTGAGAGCAGACGAGTGACCGCTGCTGTGTGTCACCGTCACCCCTTGCATGCCGGTAGGCGTCGAAGAATCACCGGCCAACGGCAGCAAGTCAGCAACACCAGTCGCTGCCAGGTACCACCTACTATCATTCATCTGCAATTCTTTTTTTCTTTTTTTAAATTTTAATATTCTCATGCTGGATTGAATGGAAGTGGTTGGTTGAATGCATTTGTTATTTTATATAGATTGATTCATTGAAACGAATTCTGAATTTGTTATATGATGTAACCTTATTTTAAGTGGCTGCTGGCAGATTGAATGGCTGTGGTTTTTGATTGAAATTTCTAGGTATTATGGAGGTCGTGGATTGGGGGAATTCTTTAGGGGAGAGTGTTTCTGAGGCCCGTGCACAACATGCCAACAGCACTGATGAAGAAAATCACTATGCTTCTGGGTCTGCATCCAAGTTTCAGCCCAGGTAAATGACTATTTTTATGAAGAAAAAAAATACAGTACAATTTCCATATTGCTCTCATGTTGATCATTCTTTTCAGGAAAATCACATCCAAGGCTCACTGGAATGACCAGATGGGCATGGCTGAGGTGATAGTTGAAAAGGGTAGATATCGGATATCCACGGGAATTGTGCGCCATAGCAAGCTTTATTACTCTATTGAGGAAGTTTTGTAAGTGAAATAAAATGTACTCTATTTATTCTGATTCTTGTGCTCTATGTTTGAGGGTATCTCTTGCGAAATTACTGAAATATTAAGTTGATGTAAAAACCAATAGACTTGACTCGAAATAAGTCAACTATATCAATCTTGGTTTGTTTCGTTTCATTTGTCTTATTTTTCCTCAATGATCCTTAAATTTGAATATTTTGTATGTATCTGAACTCTTTACCTTTCAAGCATTGGTGGCCTTACATTATCTTCTGAAATTTTTCCATTTCAATAATTTTAAAGCAAGACGAAAAAGAAAGTGCATGAAGAGGAACAAGTTTGGGTAGAGAGCCAGAAACGTTGTCTATTATGAAGTGAACTGAAATTTTATTGTCAGCTACAATTGACCTGCACTTTAACCAAAACTTGGGACTGTTAAAAAAATCTAGCAGGGGCTTGATGTAAATTCAGAGTCTGGTAGTACTCATTAGCATGAAAATTTCCTATTTCTTGTTCCGTTGAGATGGAAGTGCTTGCAAATTGTAACAATCTTTTTAAAGGTTTTTGGTTGAAATAGGCGACTTGCTTCTCTTGGATGATAGTGGTACACTTTCCTTGGAAGATATATATATGAAGATTTCAGATAGAAAGAATGGGTGTTGTTGGGAGGAATTTCAAGCTTATAGGCAACTCAAGTCTCTTGGTTACATTGTTGGGCGGCATGGTATCCCCTGGTCTATGAAGAGTTTGAAGAGTAATTATGAAACTGTTTCTTCTCAAGGTTGTCCAGAAAGTGATGAGGTGGTGGACTTGGGATCAGAAGAGACTAGGTCTGTCATTGGATTGTTGAATGGGATGCAAATAAATGAAGCAAGGCTGATTTTTGATGTTTATCTCCCAAATAGCAAGTTCAGGAAGTCTTCTCCTGGTGATCCAAGTTTTGTGCTCTGCTTTACTAGGTATGCATATTATGGCAATCCTGAGAATTTAGCAAAATTAATTCTGTTTGTGATTAGTCATGATTCTTTTTATTTGAAGTATCAATTGTTATTATCATAAGATATATGTATTCCTTGAATAGTCCAAAGACTACATATTTTGTGAGTAATTAACAGTTAGTTCCTTAGTTGTAACTAGAAAACCATGTTAAGTTGCATATTGGCGAGGTTGTATGTGACGGAGTTTGTGCAGGAGTTACTTTGTTGAGAAGCATTTTGTTAACAAATTTATTTATGCAACAGAACAAGAAGGCCTATCTCGTATTTTCTTCTCGTGCACTCTTATTTTGCAATTATTATTTGGAAATCTTCTTAAATTTGATGCTGTCCCTTAGTAATTGTCATCTTAAAAAATTTAATGCATCCCTGTTTATCATCTTTTGAAAGTTTAGACTCTTCATCAATAGTAATAGGTGGTGGAAGGTGGATGCTGAATGTTAGATGGACAAATTAGTTGGAGGTTGGCATTCATAAAAAGAATGTTCTTTCAAAATTCTATGTGTTAGTAACCGATTCGAGTATGCCAATCTTGTGTAATAGTATTTAATTGTACACTTGCCTTCTCTGTTCTAGGGGTCCTCCACCATCCAAAGCAGACCTTGAAGCCCTCGAGAGACAATGTCAGAACATTCCTTTGAAGGTTTGCCATGAAGAGCAGGGGTGGGTGAGTTTCTTTTCCTTTGACAAGGTGGAACTTCCTGCCCTACCTTGACATCTGAAGTTGATGTTGGTTTGTACTAAAGAGGGGCATAAAACCTAATTGTCTTGAATCTGCGTTGATTTGAAAATTTAACTGAAAAATTTGAAAAGATGTTAAAATGAAAATGATTTCGCATGGAGTTTATTTCCTTGTTTAATGAAATAAAATTGCTTGGATTTCTACAAATAGGGGATGTTTAGTGACTAGGATTGGATTGGATTGGACTGGATTATGAGGTAAAATTAGATTGCATTGGATTAGAGAGGATAATGTTAATCCACTGATGTGTTTAGTACTACACATGATTAAGGAGCTGCATTAACTAAACTATGCTATTACATGGGCTAGCAAGATTAGACATAATCCGATCCAACTTAATCCCAACCATTTCAATTGGCCTTAGTAGGTTTAGACAGAATTTAATCCATATTGTTTTTAGGCTACTAAAAATTTGGCTAGAATTTATGAATCCTATCGAGTCATATAATCCAACTCATCAAACAATCTAATAAAGGCTATAAGGTTTTGATTATGAGCAATCGTATGATTGATATATCCCTGGAAAAGAAAAAACAAATGAAATTGGTCCATTAGCCTTAGCTCAGTAGCGTGGAGCCCCAATGTTTCTGGTCCTTGCAAAATATTACTCCTATAATGTTTTGATCAAACTCAATCAAATCTTTAATGAACTTGATAATGCAGCACCATGGCTAATGGTATAATATTTTACATTAAAGTATTATTAATTAAAGATTTGATTGTATTAACCTACACGTGAGAAAAATAATATCTTTAATATTATTAATATCTTTTTAGTCTTCCTTTTAGATGTTCTTTTTAGTCTTCCTTTTAGATGTTTGTACACATAATTATGTAAGTCTAGCCTAATACTTCAAACAAGACAACAATTATTTGCTAAGAAAGATAGGTCAAAGTTTTTGCTTTTGTTTTGTTTTTGTTTTTTCCCCCAAGCTATGCTCTACAACATTTGCTAAAAATTTCAAAACTTCCTAACAGGAACTTCGATTCCCTCAAAGAGATTGCCCTCCATGCTCAACTTATCATCATCAGGCTGCTGGTTAAATAAAATTTATTAGTTCACAAGCTTAAACCAATATAAGACAAAGTAAGTTGCAGCTATAATTCCTTGATTATTTCCCAATTCTGTTTATGAATTTTTAGGTCTTTTTTTTCGGAGAAAGAATTCATTCCAAACCCACAAAAAAAAAAAAATTCACTAAAATATCGATAATATTGAGGATATTATTGGTTTTTCGGGTCTAGGATATTTTGGAACATATGCATACACATATCGTATAAGTATCATACTATCGGAAAATATCGACGTCGATAATTTCTGACACTTCAGTAACATTTGGCCAATATATCGCTATAATATCAAGATGATGAAGCCAATCAAAAATTTGAAGAGTTATTTACACTAACACAACCTGAGGTTTCTTGTGCGTTCACAAAACCCCCTCATGTCTCAAAAATTACACGAACACCCCACTGAGGTTTCAGTTTGTTTTCACTAAACCCTTTTTCGTTGATTGTTTGTCCAACAATTGATGATTTCATTGGAAAAAAAGAACTTATACCAATGACGAAATTAACCTCAATGAAGTATATGCAATCTAATCTCAAAGACCAACTTTGTCATTTGGAGAATTTATTTTTTATAAAATCATAAATCTTTGGATTAAAAATCGATGAAAAGGAGTTTTGTGAAAACAATTTAAAACCTCAAGTGGTCTTCTTGTAATTTCTAAAACCTCAAGGAGTTTTGTGAACAAGTCAAAAACCTCAGGAGGTGTTAGCGTAAATAACTCAAATTTGAACCTTATAGGAACTCTATGTGGTACTAAGCCGCTCATATATCTCATCATGCAACGTATAAAGTGTAAAATATTGTAGAAAATCATTATAAATAAATAATTATGATGTGTTTAATATTCTTTCATTAATTACTACATATTTTCTACACTCGCAGTGTTTGTCAGCTCGCTAATAATCAACTTAAATCAGTTAAACCCATCATGCATTGCATTTTCTTCCAATTTTTTGTGATAAAGTAATAGATAATTAACTAAATAAACATCCTCCAAAGTTTCAAGAAAATTTTTCAAGTTTTTCTTATAATTTTTGTGATTTTTATTCAATTTTTAGTGATATTGATAATATCCCGATATTTTCATCGAAATTTTTATATTTTTAGACTATCGATATTTCCGAAACCATCGATATTTTAGACCTTGCCTAGAAAGAAGGTATCCTTGCTTTGTTCCTGTATGAGGCAAAAGGATTCCTTTGTCTCCATACAACATCGCCACCACTCATGGCCTCCCTCAATCTGACCGGGATGAAGTCTGTACTTTCGAAAGTGGGGCAATCAATCGTGAAGAGGTAGGTATTGTTGGTGTGGTGAGGTTGTGGCCGAGGGAGGAAGTCAGGGAAGGGTAAAGGGCATGGAAGTCATGGGGGTGGTGGCTGCTGCTGTTGCGTTTGTTTTCTCTTTTTAGGTTTTTTCTTTCTAAATTTTACAAAGTTAACGGTTTAATTTCAGGGTTAAGTGGGTGCACACATCCAAAATATTAGAAAGGAGACACAAAGAGACATGGAATTTGGGACAGCGGATCCGCTCCCAATATGTGTGAGAGCTAACATGTTCCCACATTCTGAGATGACCAATGGTTTTCACCCACAACTTTTGTGACGGAAAAAAATAAAGCAGACATTGATGGAAGAGTTCAACTGCGGACTAGTACTGACCTTGTTGGTGTTATTTTTTCGGGTGTTGGTGTTGGTACCAAAAATGTTGTTGTAAGGTTATTCGAATTAAAATTTGGTGCAAAACACCGAGTGTGTGACCAGGGTATTTTAAAATAGGTTAATTTTGTATGTTAACAAGGCAAACAATTGTGGGGTTAGATACTGGCCGGTAGTGGAGTTAGATACTGGTCAGTAATGAGGTTTGATATGATTTAGTCTTTTCTTTTTTGGTAAAAAGATTTACTTTTTAGTAGCAGTGATATCTGTCATTATTTTCCATAGTAGGGTAGGCGACTCACCCATATCTGTGCAACAAATTCATTTTGAATTATTTGTAGAAAAATGGAGGATTTAAGGGTTCTTAATTAAACTTGTTTAAAAAACCCAATGGAATTTTGAAGGTTGTTTGTCATCTTTTGATCTACAAGCGCCATCCTCTCTCTCTCTCTCTCTCTCTCTCTCTCTCTCTCTATTGGCAGTTTACAACCACAAGCCTTCTGCTTCCCTTTCTGGCAGGCACATGCTACCACATAGATCATGCATCCCTCAACCATATCAGTCGCAGGTTATAACAAATCTAAGCCTAGGTTCTATGTTCTTATTATTATTGTACTGAAATCATCTTTGATTTTAAGTCAATAGTATATTATGACAACTTTAAGATGTGAGAATGTAAAACAAAAAAGAAAATTGTGGTATGTTAAATTAAGATAATTGATAACATCATGTGTTGGGTTAAGCTCCAACGCAACACAATTTGCATCTTGTAGGGGACTTTTTCCTCCAGCAGCCGCAAATGGGCTGGGCTGCTGTAAAAAGGGTAGACTGATGAAATTGTCCCCTTTGCCTGAGTTCGAAAATTAAGCCCCAAAATACCTCGAAAGGGCAGTATAGCCTTAAGAAGTATTTTGGTTACCTTCACCAACCAAAATAATGATAGCTTACAGATAATTTATGCATGCTTACAGATAAAATTTTAAGCTTGGCATGAGAGGCATGTGGCATGGGAGCAAAAGCAACATGAGTTTAGCACTAAGAGGAAATTTAGGCTTTCTTAGAGGGAAAAAGGGAAGTGTTAAGGTGAGAAAAGAGAGATTTTGTAGGAGATTTGACTAGGAAGAGAGAAATGAAGAACAATGCTCTTCTGGCAGCTTGACAGATACTCTGTTTGCCATAATAGAAGAATGGAGAAGATGGTGAACAGTGCACGAGACTGCTGGGTTTTTGCAAGTTAGAGAAAAAGCTTGCTCTCCAGGCGTGGGTTGTTTTTGTTGGATAGAAGAGGCCTCATTTTATAGGCGCTGGAAATCATCCCATCCCAAGAAACCCTAATGGTTTCTACCCATTTTGGCTAAGCTTTTCCCTTCCTTTCTCTTCTCCTCCCCTGGCTTTTCCTATATTGGTGAAATTTCCTCTGTTTATTAGCACAAAATCAGGAACTTTGGGAGCTCAAGGCCCCATTTTTCCGCAGCTGTCTCAGTGACAGATTTCCATTACCAGCCATTTCTTTTATTGCTTTCTTCTTTATTTTCCATGGCCAAGTCTGATGGGAAAAGGAGTTGGGAAATATATGCTGGTTCGAAGGGTGTTTCTGACAGCTCGCAGGCTAATATTCTTTGGTTCCTTGAATGTTTCTTGCTTGGAATTTGCTCCCCCCATGTCTGAAGGTTTTGTCTAATGAACCTGCAGACCTTCTCTACGTGGCTTCTATTTTTCCAGCAAAAGGCTGAGGCTTTTGTGGGCTTATTGTGAAGCTTTGTATGGGCCAAGGTAGTTCATTAAATAAGTGGGCTATTTTGTTAAATATTGGGCTTTTGAGTCAATAGGCTATTTGGGGCTATTTGGGTTATTTGGGCTATTTGGGCTATTTCTTTTCCTCTTGTGCTCACCCACATGTTTGGGCCTAAGGAATGGGCTTGAGTCTCGAGGCTCCCAAGCAACCCGAGACTTTCCATTTCTCGGCCCATCAATGGGCCTTATC